GTTCACTTTCCTGTGTATCACTGAATCAGTCTTAAATCATTATAAAGATACACCATTTCACCAAGTTGTTCAGAAGACTGTCTCCCAAGTCAATAGATCTTTTTAGCTTCCACTAAATGTATTTCATTTTTAATATCCACAAAAGAACAAAACCTCACTTGAAAAGCAGAGCCCTTCATTTATATTTGACAAGTGCCTGAACGACAGCGTTGGAATCCAAATTAGTATTGGGAGAGTTCCAGTTTTAGGGAGTAGAGAAATTAATGAATCAGGAATTAAACTAGAAATTAATGATTTTTGAAAAGACTTTATGTAGCCCCTCCCCCCTTTGACTCTGTTACTATTTGAAATACTATTTCCACTAACCTTTTAGATTTCATTTCTCTGACTGTTTAGAATATGCATGTAACTGGATTTACTAGATTTGCAGCTACTACATATTTGCTCCCAGGTGAGGTGAAAGAAAGTCAGTTTCATTTTGTATTAGAACTTTTTTCTAATGCTTCTTTTGTTTTCTTCACTGTTAGGTTAGAAAATAAATAGACTAGTAACCCTTTTAACAGATTTAGAAGAACTTTTGAGTCCCAGGATTTCACTAGTTTTTCTTAAAAGAAAGCCATTTTGAAAACCCTTTCTGTTTTTATTAAATATACAGTGGTGCCTCGCATAGCAACGTTAATCCGTTCCAGGATTAACGTCACTATCCGGAAACATCGTTTTCCGAAACAAAAAAACCCCATGGAAATGCATTAAACTCCGTTTAATGCGTTCCTATTGGGGAAAAACTCACCGCTATGCAGGGAATCCTCCATCTGGCCGCCATTTTTGCTGCCCGGTAAGCGAGGAATCCGGGCCAAAACACAGGGGGCGGCCATTTTGCCAGCTTCCCTGCTCCAGCCCCTCCCCCTCCCCGCCTTACAGCTGATCCGCGGTGCCTCTTTGAAGCTTCCGCAGCAGCTAAATAGGCAGGGAAAATGCCCTGGGGAAGCCTCTGAAAGCCCCGCTTTGCCGGGGTGGGTGTGGGTGGGGGTGTGGCAGGGACAGGCCCGCC